AAATTTGTCATACATAGCTTATTCAATAATAAAAAATAAAAAAATCTCAAGGACAAAAAATGAAGTACATTAGAGTAAATTTAACAAAATATTTTTTCTTCTATAGTCACTTGTATATTGCATTCTTGTTTGCAATGGTGCCATCAAATATAAGTGTTTTTCTAGAGAGCAATATAAAAGAGGATGTTAGCCTAATGTACAGTGATATTTACAAAAAAGTGCTTTAATAGTGAAAAGATGGCTAGAATCTTCTTAGAAGAAATGTAGCAAAATGAAATAAAAAAACGAAGTTCACTCCCCTTGTGAATTTGATGGGTCAATTTATTAGTTTTAGATGAAGAAGAAACTTTTATTGTTTTTGGAATGAATATATTTCCTATTTTTAAATCTATTTTTTATACATACTTATATATATATATATATATATATATATATATACATATACATTCATGTATAACATCTGCACATAATTTTTGGCTTATTATTAAAAAGTAAAAAAAAATTCACAATCAGAGTTGCATTGTGTAAAATTGTTTTATAGCAATGTTGTGCAGTTCCAATTTTGATACAATGGTGGGACGTAGTCTTTCCAAACACAATTTCTCTAGTAGAAAGATGCATAGCATAACTTTATGTCCTTCATGGCTTTGAGCAATCATATTGAAAATTGCTGTTTGTGTGGCAATCTACCATAGCACCCGCAAGTGACCAACAAAGATGAATGATACTACTAGTTTTCAATATGTGTGTATTAGATTAGTTTTTTCAGAGGTAAGTAGGCTGTTTGACATGGCAACTATGTATCAAACTGCTGGAATTCAAATATCCTGTGTCCGGATCCTGAATGTGAGGGTTGACTCTGCCCTGCCAATCCAAGGATTCATTAAAAGAAAGCACCAGTGTGCGCTTTGATGTTCGTTTTTGGCCTTTGTGTGACATGCTTGTAGGCCTTTTGATTATCCATTGAGGTCTTTTGCTTGGAGGTTGAGGAATTGTTTTTATACTTGCTATCTAAGAGTCATGGTTTAGCTGTGACCTAACCTTGAGAAGCTTTCATAGGAGACACTTCATTATGCTTTATAACCCATATTCTCCTACTGGGGGATCAGTCAATCATGGATTGTTCCAATAGCATTTTCTAGGGTTTACTGATTCATGAAGTTTTCCAAAAAAAACATTGTGTACTCTTTAAGTGTTCCAACACATCAAATATGTAGTGTGCATGTCATGCACAGGAACATTAGTGGTAATCACTTGCAACAGGTTATATCACACTGCATTCTACATTCAGAAGTGACATGTGTACATGTTCAAAGATCTCTTATGCTCAATTTAGTTGAAATTCCAAAGATATCACTTTTGAGTGGGGGCAATCCTTTGTCACTTAACATGCAGCTAAAATACACATCCTCAAGCTAATTTCTTTGCCATGTGCAAGATTGGAAAAGGTGATGGGTGCATATCATTTGAGTTTTTGGATTACAGTATTTGCAAATAGTGCATCATGCCATAGCACATGCTTTTGTTAGAACTTCACAGTGGGAAGTGCTCCATGAGAATTGCAGACAGGAGCACCAGATTTAGGTTGTATCTAATCTTCATAAAGGCAAATAATATTTAAAGCATGTGCATAGGTCTATTCTGTAGACTACCTATTGTGTAGTATATCTTGGATGCTGAGCACACTTCCCAGAGTTGGGTGAGTCTAGCAGAGTATGTGTCTGTGTTGGTATATATATACATAGAAACATTTGTGTGTGTGCATGTTTAGCAGAGAATGTGTCTGTATATAATACTTATAATGTTCTATTATATCATACTTACATTTTTTTTAATGCATAATTACTCTTATTGTTTGTATAAATCAATAGATTTATTTTTTAATTTTTTGAAATATTTTATTTTAAATATTTCTAATTTGCATAAGATTATATTGTTAAGACAAATAACAGTCATTCTCAATGTTAAAGGTCTTGTTGACTTGGGTAGTGTTTATATTAAGGCATATGGCATAGTTAATATTATACTTACAAAAAACTAGAATAGGAGACATTAAAAGACACTTAACAACTTTTTGGAAGTCAAACCTAAATAATAGATAAAAAAATCCTAATATTTCTAATATATTTGGTTTTTTGGCAATGAATTCTTTTTGTAAGCATGCACACTTATTAAAAACATACACCAACAAGAATTTCTACTACCAGCCTTATAATACCTGAATATTAGTTCTACCAGCCTTAAGTTCTAATACTTGTGACTATTGCTGAAAATAAATTATCTAAAGTGCTAAGCAAAGAGAATAGAAAACTCTCAATAATACAGTTATTGATTGACTTTGTGCACAAAAAATAGAAAAAGAAGTGCATGCTTAGTACTTAAGAATGTAATGGTATTTGTTGCAAATGATGTCCTTCGACCCTTATTAGCACAAAATTGACACTAAAATAAACCTTGCTAACAACTTCTATTGTACACACTATTGCTTTATTTTTAATGACAAAAATAATATATTTTAAAATAATAATAATAATAAGAAGAATAAAGAATTTCCAAACAACTCTCCATTACCACTCTCAATCCAAAGCCATTTCCCTCACAATATCAATCCAAAACAACAATAATATGCACAATTCCAACTTAAATGATGCAAAGGAGGAGAGAGATTATGCACACTCTCCAAAAACACAAATCCTGTAACATATTTCAAAGGTGCCATTTCATATTTGTTTTGTTTTATTTAGGTAGGTAAGTTGAGAATCCGATAGCGACGCAAACAGGAAGAGCAGGATGGCAAATGCCCGATCACTGGGAATCAATCGTCTTGCTTGCTTCTGTGCTCACGCCCCATCTCCCTCGCTCCACCTCTCTCGTTCCTCGGCACCCACATCCAGATCTCCGCTCAAGGCGCTTGCTTGTTGATCGTCTTTGATCCCTCCACCAGTGCACAGTCCCAAAACGATTCTGTTGCATTCCTGTTTCCAAAACCAAGCTGTTACATTCCTGTCTCCAACGCAATGTCTATAAAGTATTCTGCGCAACCTAGACCCTCCCTCCCCATTTTATTTTTTATTTTCTTATAAATATTTATATTCATATTGTCTGGTGGTGGTGTTCTGTCGCCAATGCTATTCAACGGCTGAGAGAAAGCAAACACGTATGCACTGCAGTACAGGGAGGTTGCATGAGTAGTGGAGAAAGAGGAGGAGAAGAAATCTTTGGCTCCTAACTTACCCATCCACATTCATGTACGGGTGGCGCTGCGAGACGGAGCAGCAGCGAAGAAGGCAGGGGGTTGAGAAAGAGGTGGGCAGTAGTGGGTCAGAAATGCGTCGCGTCAAGAACAAATGACCCGCTCGCTCCATGACTCGGTGCGGCATCATCCCATGGTTCTCTCTTGAACAGCCCCAGGACCCCATCGCCATCCCCCCATTATTCTCCCACCCCTCCCTGGCTTACTCATCATGCGGCCACTCAACCATTCTCAAGCTCACCTCGTCCTCCTCCTCCTCCGCATGAATACAATGGCATTGCTGCGTCACGGCTCCTTGGGTGAAGAGGAGGAAGGGGTGTGAGTAAGTTGGCTTCCACTCTGGCGGTAATTCTGCGTGAGCCGTGGACAGTCTTGCTTCTGAATTAGTCCGGAATTTGGAATAGCACATGCTCTTTGTATCGTAAAAGCGTATTATGCTGCCCCTGGAAAATCATTTACCTTGCAGATTTCACGGATTCCCGAATAACGAGAGGTAATTAACGGACACGAATAAGGTGAATCTCTCCATTAACTTACCAAATGGACTCCTAATCAACCCATTCCAGGATTTATTTAGTCATGACAACGTTCCGTAGTTGTTAAATATAACACTCCGGAATTCCACGCATCAAAGAATTATTGCTTCTTGAACTCCACATTGTTGTTTTGTATGTTCTGATAAAATTCATTTTAAACGTAGAATTGACCTTGAAGTTTGTGTAAACAATCTTACAACTTACCTCGACAAATTTCACTTACATTTTCCAGTATACTATTCGACTTCCACGAAAATCCTTTAACTTGGACTTTATTTTAAAATATGTGATTTTAACACATGAATAAAGATTAAAAAAATTAAAAAACATGGTACAATGAGGGTTGAACTTAGTCATCCTTGAAAACAAATGAATACATAGATGTCCGTGATTTGTGTACAAAGGCTTCACCACATGTGCTGAGGGACATGACAGCTACGTTTCTTTCAAGGTGGACCACGGCACTTTGAACCAACAATCTATATACACATGGTATTAGTTGCCAATAACTACCAAAACCATTATCTTGGAACACGAAAATCTGCTTAACTTGCAAGCAGAAGCTACTAGTTAAGGCGTAGTTTGGACAACTCCAGGGATGGGTAACCTAATCTGTAGTAAATGCTCGTTGAACACTGAACGAGAATTCCCTCAACTCAAGAAAGACGTGCTCCCTGCATCCTAATTGCTCGCTCCATGTGCACGTAAAACGCGATTCCTCTTCTGGGAAGTTACACCCAGGCTTGAGTGTCATCCGCATCAACCGTCACCATGACCATCAGTAGACTAGCCCAACAGATTTTGCTAGGAAAGGCCGTTTACAAGGGCAGGTAAGTAGAGTTGATCAGTGGACAAATTATTTTTCATCCGAAAAACATTTTCACTGGGGTAGTCTAGAATATAAGTTTATTATCCACTTGCTCCGACCAGTCTGCACATCTCGCGAAGAGATGAGCATGCACCCATTGGAACCAGGAAGCAGAAGTGTTGGGAGCAAAGTTGTTCATGTCGTTTGATGAGCGCATTCTTCACCTCGACCCAGTGATGTAGCCAAAAGTTCAAGTTTTTGTGACGCAAAATATGGAAATAATTAAGTCTGCCCTAACTGGTCAACATAAACTATGTATAATAACATACAGACTTGCCAACTACTACGACTGGACATTAGAAAGGAAAAATAGCAGAGACACTCCACCACTGATGCAGAAAGGGGAAAAAACAACACAATCAAGGCATGCATTACCCAGGATACATAAATTGTGTAATAAGTGTCCTCCTTAAAGAGGACTATCAATTGATCTGGCATATGATTCTATCTTGTCCTAACCTACTTCTGTACACATAAAACACGATGCCGCCAAGGGGGGAAAGGGGAAAGAAATCCCCTCTCCCCAAAACCGACGCGCACCCCTCGACTTCATCTTGATGCGACTCGCTCTCTCGATAAAGAAGAAAGATGTAGAGTTACTCAATGTATGAAGCCTAAATCGTCGGCAGAAAAGCTTAACGGATGCTCATCAAAACTTGACAACCTTCTCGGCCACGACAAGAGGATTAGCTTTCGCAATCGCTTCCTGCCCTGCGGCTTTGTAGTCATATGTGCAAGTGTGTTTGTCCGAGTACCGATGTAAAGCGCAGTAGAGGTTGCCACAGCGACACTTAAATCCTGTCAATCCAACACGCTTCCTGCAAGATCCGCATCGATTGGGCTCGGGTCTAGAGGGAGCTGCGATAGAGGACTTCACTGCCTGAGGGGCAGCTGCAGCGGGGGTAACCAGGTCTTGTTGATAGCTGGAAGATTGATGCGGCACAATCATTGTTCTCTCAACCTCGCATGTGAGCTTGGTCTCATGTACAGGAGCGGGGGGCTGAACAGCAGCAGCTGTGGCAGATGTCGCCTGAGCAGCCTGAGTGGCTTGCTCAGCTAAAGCCGTCATCTTCGCTTGCATGACTGTCTCTCGGTAGCACTTCGAGCACAACCCCATGGTAGCTTGGCTGCCGAAGAAGCCGCAAAGGTTCTTGCACATAACTGGACCCTCAGGGGCCTGCGAGGTCGTCTCCTGAGACACACGCTCGGTGGCCATCTTTAACAGACTAATAAGGATGTATCTTTCCTAATCAGAAGCGTATGAGAAAATCCTGCAAATCTCGCTCAAGGCTTCAGACTTGCAACCAACACTAATGACACACACACTAAGCGGGACTGGTGCAAAACTAGAGAATGGGTCGACTTCTCAAAGGTTCCCTTCCGCACCCAACAAGCAAAGTACTACTACAAAAGACACACAAAGCAACTCACACCCTGAGGGCAAACTTATAACACCCAACCCCCAAATGGGTACAAAAGTCGCGATCCGGCGGAAGTGACTGGAGAGGAATAAGAGGGCCGGAAGGGAGAGAGGTTAAAAAACAGAGCAAGACACCCGATTGAGCCGGCAAGACGCGATGGGAGGCCTAGCTGGGAGACGTGAGCCACTGACTGAGAGGAAGCCCGGGGTGGCCAGGAAGGTTGCCACTGCTCCCACACAATGTAGTCGTCGCAGGAGACGATGTAGAGGAAGAAGAAAAGGTGCAGGAGAAGTCTCTGTGCGAAGAAACCAGCAGAACACGCTTCTCTCCGTGCGAGAGAATTTCACAGACCGCAGCGGCCGCGGACCTTTACTTCTACTTACGACCACTCGGCCAAAGCGCGGCTCGTATCTTCGCTGGGAGTGGGCTCGAATGGGGCAGCTGGAACTCAAGAGGGCCAACTTGGTCATCGTAGCCTCGATTGTTCTTCCCCCTTTTCTCGCTCTTCCTGGCGAAATCATCTCACTCTATTAACGCAGATGATGCCAAGGCGGGCATGGATTCTCTCCCATCGCCGCGTCTGAATACCTTCGCACTAACCGCTGTCTTACCCCCCCCCCCCCCCCCCTCCTGGAAACTGTGCCGGATGCGACTAGTAACTCGCCCGGCCGGGCCCAACGCTGCCGCGAACCTGGCGAGTTGCGTTCAGGGAGTTCTCGATTCTTCTGGCCCACTTGAGGGGAAGGGGTGTTGGGTTGAAAGATCCTCGACTGTCCATTGGTACATGATTTGTCGAGGATTCGGTTGCTATCGTAGGATGGTATCTCTCCCTTCCACTGCCCGATCCTTCTCGCTCGCTCTCTCCCTCCTCTCCTCTTGGGCCCCGGTGTTCGGTGGCATCCTCTGATTGCACCACAGCATCACCATCTGCTGTCGCCGCGCTCCTAATGGGATTCTACAATTTAACCACCGTGCACATCCCTTCCGCTCCCTGCAAACTGTTCTTACACAGCGGCATGTGGGATGTGTCGTCATCATGTTGCTTTTGATTTCATTCCTCTTCCGATACAGAAATACCAAATTAGGACACCACCTTCGCTGATCGGCCAAATCCAAGCAAACCTACCACACCGGGTGGGGAGCTTGCCTCATTAGACCCTCATTCACACCAGTGCACCCACGTAATCTTCAATACCACTTAATCCTTACCACTTTCATGATTCTTAGCAAATTCTCTATTCCCCGTTTTCATGTTTCACGATAATTATAATAATTATCATTTTAGTGATTGGAATAGGATACTGGAAGGCACTTTCACTTTGGAATGTTGTTGATGTAGGTTAACCTGGGGAACGCTCTTGCTCAGATATGTAGTCAGCGCTTCCCTCATCCTGCATTAAGAACACACACATGGAAGCTATGCTTTATTTTTATCTTGTGCTTTTGGCATGCACTGGGGCCCTGCTGCGGCCTTCCTTCCTTCCTTCCTTCCTTCCTTCTTCATCCCTCTCCTCGCTGACTTTGTCTCGTGCTGCATAAGGTTTACCATTCATTCATACAGCGTATCTGTCCACGTCCCTCGTAGGTATGTCCACACGCAGGACCATTCGGATGTAATCCAATGCCTCCGTCGTGGCGTGTGACATTCCCCTCCCAGATTAGAAACCCAAGTGAAAAGATCCCTATGCTTTCTTTCTCTCTAGCTCTCTAGAATCTAAATCCCGTTCGTCGGCATGTTCCCTTTGTGTAGTCATCGACTGGATGAGATTCCTACAGATGGCCTTTATCCCACTCGATCATCTTGTTACGTGTGCCGGGGGCCGGCAGCATCGCGAGAGAAACCCTAATTTATACGGCGTTTGGCTCACTGGAGCATCTCCATACCCGCCCAGCTTCTAAATTAGCCCCCCCCCCCCCCAATGACCACCACTTGCCTCCGATGATTGGCTAACGTTGCACTGCCCGGCGGCATTCTCCAATCCCTGAGCCTGAGAATCCGATTGTTGGAGAGGCTGACGGCGTTAATCAGCCTGATCAGGGAGTTGTAGTTCATCCGTTAAGCCTCATGACAGGTTCTCCACCCACTAGCCGTCTGCATTTTCCCAGCGGCCTTACCCAGGGGCGTGGCCCACCATCGCTTCCTGGCCCCATTTGCCTTTGTCTGCAGGAATCTCACTGCCCCTCCACCTTGTATTCCTCTGCATCTTCCTTTGGGTGAACGCCTTCCCTCTCTTCCTGAGAGCTCCACTGCTCTGGACAATTGTGGGGTTCGAATAGCAATGTGCACACAATGGAGACTTGAGAAAGCAGTCTGCAACGAGAATGGGTGTGCAATCCTACACGTTATTCTATCGATTTTATGCTCTTTCCTTCTTTCTCTTCTCTGCTCGAGGTCTTCGTTATTCCATTTTTTGGTCAAGTCAAATGTTGCCATATTCATTCCACTTCACAAACGATTCCACTCCTTTGTAGGGGTGTAATGTATGGATTGTATCAATCAGACAATGACATGGCAAAAGGGATACGAAAGGGTTTGTCTCCACGAATAATGATTTTAGCACTTTGGGTTTTTCAAAGTATTTTTCGTGCGGATTGAGCTTTTTTGTTTACCCCGGTCTTGCGTGGGCCACATTGTGGGAATTCTCGTCATGGTTTGAGCCCTAACTATTCTTGACACAGATCGTATTTGTACGGGAACTCTAGGCTTTGCTGGAAGGGGTGACGAGGCATGCCAGCTAGGCAGAATAAAAGGTGTCCACTTCGACCTTCGGAGGGTGTGAAGCAGTGAACCAGTTGGCCAATTCCACGTGCCGTCCTTCTCCTCGCCACGTCACCGTCTTCCAAGGAAAGTGCGCACTTCTCCAGGTGGCTGCCTCGTTGGCAGGGCTGTTGCCCACTCATATGAACATCATCCATCCTCGGGGCAAGTGTGGATGACAAAGTCCGTCCTGATCCTTTGAAATCTTCAACAATGGTGGACACTATATATGGGTTTTATGCTCTCTGGGGCACAAACAGCAGCTCAGCCCTAAAAGCTCCTCCGTTGCACTTTCCAAGCTGACTGGGCATTCTATGGCGCGTTCATATCGTATCATGTAAGATACTATACGCAATCACAACACACACTATCATAGTAATGAAAAATCTAGAAGCAACGTTTATTTATTTATTTATTTATAAATGCGGCAGTAATCATTTTCCTTGCATCCCATACTTAAAAAATATATATACATTGAAAACGTCATGAAGAATAAGCTGCTGGCGAAGATACAGACACACACACACACACAGAGAAACAGTATAAATATAGAAAATATATAAATAGATAAATAGATAGAAAAAGTATTTATACTGAATCATGAAGAAATTGGATATATTCTCAAATTTCAAAGTGTGGAATATGTTTTTTCATGCAACAGATTGCATGTTGAATTCACCAAACAGATATCCAAAAATGATCATCGGGATACACATTCAAGCTGTGTCGCTGTAACACACACAGGCAGATATGCGAATGGATGAATGGTGGATGAGAGATAGATTAGTGGATGAATACTTAGGGGAGGAGGAGCGATTGATGGGGCTATGGCGGGAGCGGCACCACGAAGCGCGTAATGTGACATCGTGACGGAGACGCCGTCAAAGACCAGGTCCAACTGCGGGGCTGGGGCCAAGTCGTCGCCGTCGCCGTCGCAGTTGAAGACAACCACCACCACATGGCTCTGGCAAGGCCGTCGTCACGAGGTCCATGTGAGGAGGAGGATCATGCGTCTATGCGTGGTGAGAGAGGGGGAGATTGTGTTAGCCCAAGGGCGGGTGGGGGAAGAGATTCACACGATCGAATTTCTGAACATGGAACCACTATCGTTTCAGACCACGGTGCTGCCGAATCCCCTTCAAATGGGCGGGAATGGGAGAAGGGCTACTCCCAATCCCTGCCCCAATTCCGTCCTCCCCCTCATCCCAACCCAGTTAGTTTCGTGACGCGATTCCTGACAGCAAGTTGTTGGTAACACTGTCGAATGGCGATGAAGCACACCACGCTTGGCGATGGGAGAAGGAAGCTTAAGCACTTTTGACTGTGACGTGCTGGTGATACTCATCCAGCAGGGAGCCGATGCAGGTCAGCCAGCATGTGGGGCGCGTCGGCACCAATAGCGGAGGCGACGCACTGATCGTGGTCTAGACGGAAAGGGGAGGCACTGATCATCGGGTCTTCGGTTACCCCCCCCCCAATTCTCTCCTAATCCCGGTGAGCTTCCACATCTCTGAGTCGAGAATGACTCCATCCTATATGAACAGGGGTTACGCTTCCCATCGTTTTGTGGATTCGCTTCACTGATCGGAATGTTTGTTCCAGTCGCATACGAGAAACTCCCACACATTTGGGTGAAATTCCTGCTGCTTGTTACAATGCTTGCTCACTGGGGAGCGACAACCCTAAATTGGTAAAACAAATATGCTGATTCGGAAAAAGAAAAAAGCTGGCATGGGACTCTCAAGCGATGCTGCGCAGATTTTGCTTGCCAGCACCAAATCTGAACTGATCGAGCCTACGCCATGAATCTATTATTGAGTCGACTCAGGATTAGGGTTTGCGCCAGCAAGACTGATTCCGATGACGACGGTGCACCGTTGGTGAGAGCATTCATGAAAACTCACTGACTTTGATTAACCCCAGAAATTGACATGATTAAGAATGGCTTCAATCTTATCCTTTCATATACTAATTAATATAAGAGGTATATAAAGACCTTCTAAAGGGATGAGTCTGATGTTTCCGTGCTGTGTAATTTTAATTATATGTTTAAATAATTATTGAATATCATAATTTAATTCACTAATTAATTTAATTATATTTTGTATAATTAAATAATATAAAATCATTACTAACAGCAAGAATTTGAGTAAAATAAGACACCTTTTGCATTGTCTTTGAAGTTGTAATAATATTTCATACAAAACTTTCATTTATTTATTTTTATTAAATTAGTTGTGTACTTCAAAATGAAAAATAGCGAAACACAACTTTTACTATAATTTCTTTTTATATTCAATGAATATATGATATAAAATATGATTGTTTTTGAACAATTACTATAATCATTAATGAAATATTGATAGATTTATAAACGAAATTTGGTTTGTGGTCCATGTAGTTTGACCTTGGCAATTGTATATGTATGCAAAATAAGAAGAATAATAATAATTATTATTACTAATGTGCATTTCGAATTTATTTATTTATGCCAATAAAAACCACGTTTCAATTTCAACACTGTCCAGAATGCATTTGTACATTAACTTTGAAGTACTTATTCTGCTCTACACGTTCTTTTATTACATCATGTAGAAAGCATAGTGTGTTCACAAAAAACAATATAGTCCTTTCCAAGTTGCTCTTCTACACCCACATCCATTTATTTAAACATTGTTTTTTGTTTTGTTTTTTCGGTCTAGTAGCCTAACCTCAACAACGGAATTTCACTATGTCAATGTAAGCGAATGATTTCGAAAGCCAAGTCTGAATGTTGACCTTTAATTGTTTCTAATTTGTACCCATATACTCCACAATCCATGGAATTGTGGGAACCAAGTAAAAAGTGTGTTACCAAAAATGGGGTGGGAAGAAGAACTAGGTGAACAACACTTGGCAGTCAAAACTGGGTGAACCACACTTGGATGTTACCTGGCCTCCAGTTTTGAGCGCCAGGTGTACCTCGGCGTTTCTTTGTGCCATCGGCACAGCGTGATGGTGTTTGATGTGGGCTCCCTCAGATCGAATTGTGTCGCCTATTCAGGAGTGGTCGATTGGAGTCGTGCACGTTTTAATTGCATTTTGGGCTAATTGGGTCGATTCATGTTGTCGATTTCAACGTGTAGTCCAGGTCTAGGGCGAATTGGAAGAAACGTTAGAGGGGTTGAGCGAGAAGTTGAGGAGAGTTTAGGGTTATCTGGGTAGGAAGGAATGGAGGGCACAGGTGATAACGATCACAATTCGAAGGTGCCAGAGAAGGCGGTGAGCCCTACTTCGGAGGCTCGAAAGGTGATAGACCATGCTGCTTATAATGCTCGAGCGGTAGGGAAAGTCCTGCTTCACCCTCTCAGCAAGGAGGCGCAGACGGAGGCTATCGCCAAAGCCCGCGAAGACAAGGCTGTCTCTGATCAGCGAACGGCCCCTGTCAGCGATACTGTAGCGCAGCAGGCCGATCCCCTCTGAATGTCCATAAGTAAAAAGCACACCAGGCCTCATGCTGGAGTGATGTTGACGCAAAACTGCCACTGGAGCAACACCCACACTGGATCCACGGGGAATTAGACTCAGTGTAGGAGGATTTCTTGGATTTTCATCTCAGATTTGTACTCATTTTCGCGTGTAAATGAACCGAAGTTTGGCTACAATTTCAGCTCAAGTTCTTGTTTTCAGGCTCCTGCTTCTGTTCTGTGCATGCAATAATAATACAAGTGCATTAATAACAAGACGTGTTGCGATTTCATGACTGGAAAACATAGACATAGTTGGTCTGCTTCAAATTGAAGGGCCCAGGGTCATTCAGGGGATAAAGAACAGAAAGGAAAAAACTTTCATGTTTACTTCACGAATGGCATACTAGATAACAGGGGGGATCATTCCATCCTGAAATAGACATGAAAAAAGAGCTTGTCCTACAACAGAACTAAAATAGCTTGCATTGCCAGAATGGCGTGCAATTCTGTAAGATACTGACATAGGTTGTTTTGTTCACAGCTTCAACGCTAAAAAAAAAGCGAAAAACACTGTTGGAACAAAATGAACAACCCTTGCTACAAAAACGTGATCCGAACCTGCAGTTGTACGCTAAGTCAGTCCTGATTATCAAACCCGAAAGCAACGACTTCCTCCTCTATGTTAATGATCTCTTCTACTTCGACTTCCTCCGCTTCGTAGTCTTCCTCCGTGTCACTTGGTACACCGTCACGAAGGATGTAACGCTCCTCTTTCTCCTCCTCTTGTGCTGCCTTCCATTGGGCCACCCAGGACTTCCACTCGTCAACCAGTTTGCGACGATTCTCGGTGTCCCTTTCGGTACCCTCCAGGGATCTTGCCAGATCGTCAGCCTCGTACTTCTTGCTGTACTTGCGCAGGTTCTTGGCAATCTCAGCCTCATCCTCGGGAGTAAGAAGTGTGGGGGGTCTTGGACGCCACAAAAACTGGTTGAAAAAAAATGTATGTTGTTAATGACATAATGCACACATACTAATCCATAAGCATGTCTAATTCCAGGTGACCATCAATTCGGTCACGTCGAAAATAACAGAAGGCACAAACGCGAAACTGCACTCGCGAGAGGGAAAAGGGCAACGAATAGCACTTAAATATGTTAAAATTGCTGATGTTCCAAATCAAAATTCAATCGCATCCCATGTGTTTACCCAAAAAATTAGAGGTACACGTACCTGGAAAAACCTGTCCCTAGGGAGGCGGTACAACAATTTTCCTTGGAATGACCAGATATTGAAACCGTTCTCCATCTGGTGAACAGATGTTACTGATGTTGAACAGAACCTGCAGGACAGTACAAGCCACCAATGTTAAAAACCGATACAGAAAATGTCTAGCTGTCGAGCAACTCAATATACTTCAGAGCAACCAGCACTTCATTACTTTCCAGACACCAGTTTACTGATCATGACAGAGAACTACTCGCCTGCCGGTAGGATCCCAATCGACGTCTGTAGCCATGAAGTGCTCAGCTGTTGCCATTGTCTCCAAATCATCCACATTGTAAAACTCAAGCTGACCGTTGTAAGCCTTGAGACCTGAAGATATCAAAGTAAATCGTTCTCAGCCCTAGATGCTTCATTACCTGCTCTTAACATCTACTGAAGTGTCATCAATACAATTTAGGAAAAAAACGTAGTGTAGTAAATTAAGCTATGGCATCCTACTTGAACATTAGATAAGAATAAAGTCATGAAGGCTTACCTGCAAGAATGATGAAGCGTCCAAGTGGAGACCAGTACAGGGCATTGGCTTGTCTACCCTTGAGGGTAGTAAGCTTGGTCACACGTCCCTTCATGGAGTAGAAAGAAATGTCTGGTCGAGGACTATCACCATGGATAATCGCAAAACGGTGACCTTTTGGCTCCCATGCAAATGCTATAATCTTATCGTTCTTATTTTCGAGTTCCAGAACCTCAATAGGAATGTCGCGTTCCTTCACACGGAAAAGCTCAAACCCAGTATAGGTACTCTTCTTGGTCTTGGTGTAACGGTCGACCTTCACAGCTAAGTACTCACCGTTGCTTTGCCAATACATTTTGCAGTCACTCACGCTGAAAAGGTTCTTTTGACGCAACTCTTCTCTGCTGGGAATAGACACAAGACTCACCTGAAAGATACCACAAATCATTGTCCATTATTTTCAGTATTGCCTTCATGCAGGAGGTCAAACAATATGCTATCGTCCTCAAAAAAGTTCCGGATTACCCAAGTATGAAACAAAATATCAAATAGAAAGGGGGTAAAAACTCACCCTGGCGGGCTGGTTACCACCACCACCTTCGGGAACGAAGAGAGACAGCAAGGGGTCGGTTGGAGACCAGCAGAAGTCAACTACATTCTCCACCTTCAACGATTTCTTATCCAACAGACCCATGGTATCAGTCTCGTACACGCTAATAGCATTTTTGCCAATTCGTGCGAAGTACTTATCGTCACGCCCACCTGCCCATTGGAACACAGGCCATGAAACTCCAGCGATACCGCCAGTTCCACCAGTAGCGAAGTCGTCAGCACTGCCCTTGAACTCGCGCAGAACCTTGCCACTCCTAACATCGAAAACCATCAAAGTGACCCTCTGCACCATGCCAACACGTCAGGGGAAGTTAATTAGTTTCAGACAAATACACTCAACAGAGTCGACAATATACATCACGTCAATGTATTTCAAACAAATATCCGGATGAAACTAATGAAAATGAGCAGAAAGTGTCATAAAAGGAAAAGGACTACGATGGCTCACAGAGGAGTAATACAGCAGCAGCTGGATTACACCATTTCGATGATATAACAGAATTCCAGCGTATACAAGTAATTCCTACGCTAAAAGCATACAGACCTGCGTATCTCTATGACTGCTGGGCTCATGGCTGCTGTACGTCACCATAAACTTTTCTCCTGGAGAGAAATCGATCAACTTCACCTGCTCCCAACAACACAGACCAATATTCAGTTCTTGTTACTTTTAAAGTCGAATATGTGTTCAATTCATTCGTCATCTACGGTTGGAGGCAAAAGAGTGCTCAATGCGCATCAGCACAGCTAAGAGTTGCTGCATATAAAACCCAAGGAGAGCAGCAAAGCTATCGCGACATACCTGGGGATGAATGTAACGCATGAGACGATTGAAAGATTTCTCGCCTCCCCACACAGCAGCTCCCTGCCTGTGAATGGTGGCCAGATAGGTTCCCAACGGCGACCACTGCACGAAGCTCTCTGTCCAGAACTGGTACCACAGCAAAATTTTAGTGTATTGGAATGAGTTGTGGGGTTCATTTTCCTACAAGACCATAGTAACTCGTAGAAAAGAACAATTGCCGCAATAAGTAACTTACAGTGCGATGATACACTGGGTCAGGCTTCCCCTGGCTAGCGTTGTTCCAGTAAACCTCTGTCTCGGATCCAAAACGAATAACAAACTGATCCCGGCCCCGGTCATCTGTGAGCCAGGCAACAAGGTTTTCGCCGGGAGTGTATGGCTTAATTTCCGGGGAGTTCCACTCATCGGGCACTTTCATATACTTATCGTAATCGTCAAACATATTGACAACAAAGACGTGAGATCTGTCGAGCTTGTAACCGTTTGTTTGCTCACGCGCTGTCTGTGCTTCCTGCAATCAGCAACACGAAACATGTCATTTGAAAATACACTTACAAGATCTTCATGAAATTATATCCTACTTACAATCTCCCCGAAATCCCTGATTCTGATTCAAAATACCTCGATTATCATCGTGCCCCCGTTTCTTTAATTCAGCACTAGTTGAACAATATAATTATTGTTTCAAAGCTCCATAGAAAATTGGTAATAAATCCCTAACAGAAAGAACTGCTACAGATCATCACTCAAGGATAAAAATCTCAAAATAGTACCTGGGGAGTGCTGTACTCAATAAAGGCATAACCCTTGGTCTTCCCACTCTCATCTCTCGGCATCAGAAGTCCGTTAGGAGTGATAACACCGATTTGTCCAAAAATCTTGCGAATGACACCCTCAAGCTTCTCATATTTCTCAGAAGCCACAACAGGCAAGTTATCGACAATGATGACGTTGCCGAAACCTGTATCGGTTTCAAGAGTCTCTTCTTCTTCTTCTTCATCATCGCTGCCATAACACATACATCACAACGCAAAGTTATGCAACTATCGAAATTTCGTCTTATCTGGGTAATGAAATGAGGACTAGATATGCTAAGCATGATACGCAACCATGAGATTATGCAAGCACAATACAATTCACCAAGTAAAAACGAGAATTTCAAAGTGCATCGCAATATCATTCAAGAATGAAATGGATCCAGATCTTTCAAGCCCGGAGCCCATCCAACAAGCTTTATCCGTTTTCTAGCAAATCTCGACTGAGCAATAAACAGGAGAAAAGAATTGGTAATAAGTCACGAAGACCTAGACTCACCACATCAAGTACTACCGAAGATATGGACATAGGCTTGAACTTTTAAAGTTACTCCCAATGTACAGTAATTATTGCCAAGAGTAACTTCTTTCAACAAACAAGAAACTCCATGAGCACGAAAGCTAAGACAGAAACATACCTCTTGATACCCATGTCATCTCCAGGGGGCAGAACAATGGAGTCCAAGTCTACGTTGCCCCAATCGATATTCAACTGGATTCGAGGCTGTTCCTCTTCAACTGCCGTCCCCGGCGGCACCATACTGTGCGGCGCCTCTTCAACGTCCGCCATGCTTGCACCTCCTCTCAGAAACCCTGACTCAGAACGTACAACTTCTTCACCACCCTATTGCTGCGCAACGCATCACCAGGGACCCGCAACAATATACTCTCCGCCCCTCGATGCTCATCAATCTGCCGCGAAGCAACCACGTACACTTCAAAGGACCGCAACCACAACTGAGAGCACCAAATGCGGCGACTCGCCACTCAAAAAAGCCGATATCACATCCAGAATCCAGCTGCGGCAGTCGCATTAACAAATCGGAAGCTATGGTGAGCAAAGATGAGTGAGATGTGCGCAGCGATGGCGACGAGGCAAGTCAAATGCTCCGGAAAGACTCAGACTACGTCTGAGTTCAGCTTTTAGGGTTCTTTAGGTCATCTTCCGTTCCCAGAGTTCTCTTCGTTCCCAATGAGTGTAAACTTCGTTTCATTGCCCTTCTCACTCCTTGCAATCAGTTCTAACGAAGTGATTACTGAACTGTTTCTTCTTTGGCGAAGTCACTAAGTAACCTACTAATTTTCGGTCTTAGTGAGTAGCTTCCTGAGTTCCTGTCAAGCTTCGGCAGCATTTAGTCACCGCCTGGTGGTCGCTGGAGTATTGATCCGATTCCGCCATCGCGTTTTTGTCCCATGGCGTATTGAGTTTCGTGTGTTCTTCGAGCATCCTTTGATGATTTTTTCTTCTGGTGTTGTCTGGCAATTTTTTTAGCTTTTTAATTTTTCAATTATTTTCCCGAAGGTGCTTCAGTCCAGATTATCTCACTAATGCCGATTGTTGAACTCTTTGCAATTTCAAGCAATTATTTTAACTCAATTGAAATCGCGAATTGTTTTTGTTCGCTCGGGACGCTGCACACTAGAGAAATCACTTCCGAGTGTGCAATCTTGTTTGTAACGTGAGTTTGGTGTGGATTGTCGATTTTGGAGTTCTCTATCGCGGAGGTGATGTTGATTGCGACTGTTATATCTTTTCCATCAGTTACCGGGTAGTGTAATTCAGCTGTGTGTTTCGTGTTGTACTTGTGTCAAGAGAACTCTGTAGCAATCTTGAGTTCGATAGTTGTAGAGTACAGATTAGGGCTTAGTATTGGTGTTGAGGTTTGGAGGAGTGATGGAGATTGAACTGTCGTTAGAGAGTGCGTATGGAGATTCAAATGTTGATTATTCGTACTGGAATTTCGTGATTCCGCGCGACCAAAATCTGTTTGTAGAAAGCCACGGACGGATAAGTTTGAAGTCTTTTGACAGCTTTGGATGAGGCTACGATCATGGAAATTTGTGCGAACAACGAGCGTGATGCCGCGCGTTCCGATACTGCAAATATCGTGTTAAACTATGAACCAATCGGAAGCTTTTACGACCATAGAGAAAGTTATTTATGCATGGAAAATTAAGGTGGAAGCTGAGTTGAGCTTCAGTATTGATAAATTGGTCGTGGAGAGGTAGCAAGAAGAGCATCTACCTCTCCACAACCAATTTTTCAGTATTAAAGGGAGGATATGGAGGAGAAGATTGAAAAAGTTGAATAAAAGGTATGAATAGAGAGGAAGATCCTGAAGAGGGAGAGGGCGGAGAAGAAAAGGAGCTATTAGAAAGGGAGAAGAGTTGTCGAAGAAGGCACAGATTACCAATCTACAACATCGTGACAATGTAGAGAATGATGTTGATAATTGGTCCACGCTGGCGATGCTTGAGAATGGCTTGAAAAGCTTGTTCTGGTTGGAACAGAGAAGAAAAATATTTAGGTTCCAAATTTCCCGCTCCTTCAATGAGAAATCTGGCGATTTTAACAAAGAAGGTAGTGTGTTAACTTTGAATTTTAAATCTGGGATTTGTCTTCAAGCAAGATTAGCTCCACCTAGCTGCTTCCTCCTCCGCTCCTGAACTAAACGGATACTTTGATAAGGTACTTTTACTTGTTCATCAGTACTCCAACCTCCTTTGTTGGTTTTGGCAGTTAGGATTTTAGTTGATTTGAGCTGCACGTAAGAAGGGCCGGCAGATTATTCGAAATATTTGCTACAGATGCTTTCCACTGCTCTTTCTTAACTTCGAGGGCTCAGTTCTCTATCTCTCTGATTTTACTGTCGTCACGCTCTATTTATTAGTCAGAGCTGTTGAGAATTGCCGTGAAGCGTCACATTGACATTTCCACCCTTTTAAAAGAATTACTTCCTGTAAATCTTGCTATTGTGAGGCACAAGGGGAGAAAGTTTGTTCTAGAAGTAACGTACAGCCTCACTGTAATTTCGAAAGAAGTTCTTAGTTACCTTATTCGTAAGGTGCCACAAGTTTCGGGTTATTGAGACTAGGTAGTTGCAGACGTGTCGCATCATCAGGTTCTACCTGGTGTACGTGTACACTCGAAGTTGTGATATTGACGTTTGAGTCCTTGATCTTAGAGTTCTGGACCCCAAAGGTAATATCTTATGTTGTTAGCACACCGCAGCATGCTCAGCGTAGTAATTGGGAGGAATGACCTCTTTCGCAATCTCAGATTATTTATGCTCCAGCTGATACACATTGTTTGCTTGCCCTATTTAGCACACTACGATCTGATGCTTTGGCCCTGATCAGCCTGGTCAAGCAAATGTTAAAACTGGCGATAACCCAGCTTCATTGATTCAGAAGCGAACATCCAGCTTTCAGGAGATTAGAGGACCAGAACTGCAACTTTTCACAGGTGCGGGGCTGAGGCTTGCTTTTTAACCATCTTAGAGCCCTGTTTGACGGCTAAAAGATGTGCCAGTAAAAACTTTCAAAATGATCGTTAAAACACAAACTTCTGTGGTTGAGATGCCACCAATAAAATGGTGGCCTTCCGCTATTGTTACACATTTCCCGTTCTTAGTGTACTTAATAGCGAAACAACGAAACCAAATTCAACTTTTTTAGGAGGCTTCGCTTTTCTGTGTGAAAATTTTACTCGTATCACACATGTACCTATAGCATGGCCTTTCTTTTCTTTGCTTTGCTTTGCTTTCTTTCCTTCCCTTCTCTTTGTTTTTTTTTTTTTTTTTTTTTTTTTTTGTATTTTTTTGGCATGTTCAGAAAAGACTACTCTTACTACCCTTGTTGGTTACGTCTTTTCTCCAAAGATGTGTCTTGCTATAAGAATGATTGAAGCTGCACCTCGACCCTCACTTCTGTTGTTTCCGCTTGGGTTTAATGACAAGCAGAGAATTTTAGCCGAAAGTTATTCCAAGTTTGTAAAATAGTATTCACTGGCATTGGTAGTCATTATCTAGAGTTGCAATAAGTCACATGCGTGAAGGCTTATAGGCCGGCGAGCTTGAGAAGCACCTAAGTACCCACGTGATGAAATGATTTTGGACTTAGTTGGACAAAAGGATAGGCGGAAATGGGTGACCGAAGTTCTTGTGTGATGGAATGGTGTGCCAATTCTCAAGTGCCGACCTTGACCATGAACTTGAATCTATATCCACAGTAATTGTTTATTTGCAATTTCTTTAATTGTTAATAGAATCGAAAATAATCAGTTTCACTTGGAGGTCTGGATTGAGGGATTGGCTGGGCGGTTGCGCTGTGTTGAGATTGGTGCAGCATCATCTTCCACTAAGGTATGTTGGTTATTTTTTCAACTGATCTTATGAAGTATCTGTGAGATAACATATTTTTACATACGAAAGAGCTCGCTGTACACCCCTTCGTGCTGTTTGAAATTTGAAACTTCAATCTAGAGCTCGAATCCTTGTGAGGACGTATTCGTCTAATTTATCCAGGTATGACATGTGGCGTAAGTATAACAATCTATTGAAATCTGTTTCATCTTGCTGAAACATTTTATTGGTCTTGTAATTCATGTCTTGTTTCTGAACTCTACAGAACGCGGCAAATGGTTGAGCAGAGGATATTTGAAGGTCGGTTTTTGCTAACGAAAGATATCAAACTGCTGCAGCTGTGATCGATGCATGTATTTTGGAAAGAAACCAGCAGTATGGGAGCAACTTGAAGAGGTTCGATCTGTATCGATGCGGTGCACATCTATTTTATGTGCCTACGCCATCCCGATCAAGCTCCCCTTTTGAGATCATGCTTGACTGTATAGTTTCTTATCATTCTCGTTCTCTCATTGCTTCGTTGGTGGAGCGAAAACCATGTCAGCAATTTTTAATTTCATCCTGGTTGAGGAGGAAATAAATTGATTTTTTTCTTGGCATCTCTGTTCGATAGGTAATAAGGAGTTTCAGATCTTGGTATCGAAATCAGAGCTTCTGTCACGATTTGTTGAGTGTAATGGGAAGTTTTCGCCAGGACCTCCCACATCGAATGAAGCTAAGCCTCCAGCTCCTGCAATCTAGGGCGTTCCACAATCTGTGTTTGGGATTTGTGAGGAGCACTAGCATTGCTTCGTGTGTGGACACTTATTTTTGCACATTCGTCTCTTGTATTCTCCTTGTTGCGTATGGGAATTGTTGGCCAAGCGCCGAAAATGCAAACTATCTTGGTTAATGTAATTTGAAATAGTTCACATTTTGAGCTTTAAAATGTAGTCCATCAATGCCCACAATTCGAACGTTACTTGATATATTTAGAAAGCCTTTACTGAACGGAGCTCTTTAGTTGGACATTTCATAACTCTTTCTTCCGGCATTTTAATGAAGGAATTTCAAGCACCTGAGCGGGTTTCTTTATTTAATTAGTTACCAAAGCACAAGACAGGACTACACATGAGATGCCGACAGTGGTAGAAATGAATGTATCTTAAGCTCGTTTTAGATGCCGGTTCACGCATGTGCATGCAGACAGTCTCAGGCATTCTAAGCCTTAGCAGAACATCGTTGTGCGAAGCCCACAACAGATTTGCAAGCTATTGAGTTTACACGTGGATCATCAGAGGAAAGGGTGACAGAAGCTTCTATCCATGTCCATAGCGAGTTTGAGTGGCCAGGCAAGAAAGCTCTAATTTTCTCGTCAGGCCATGCTGACTCCGTTCTTCACACTGTATTTGCATTATTTCTTCAAAGAAGTTGCGATCGCTGACTCACTCAAGAAGCATCCGAAGGGAATCAGAACCTGCACCACGAGGCCCCAGGTGCACGACGCTCACCCGCCTTCCTTCCTACATTGTTAGAAGGCTACTCACAAGGATTCAGTCCTAGATGACCGTGGGCCCATACAACTTTTGAATACTGCTTGTGAGACTCTCAAGGAACCTGAGTAGACAACTGCTAAACCGACCATCAATATATCTCTCGCGCTCTCTCTCTCTCTCTCTCTCTCTCTCTTTCGATCTCGAAGAACGACTCTTGTTAGAATCGTTGCGAAGGACTAAGTAGAGCAGTCCATCATCTCTAATGCGAAGCTGGAACTAACCAGTCAACTTCGGTTCCACAGAGCCAATTCGGCAAGCTCGATTGTAGCAACATATGAACGGTCTCTGTGAGGTTGACTAGCCGCCGATGGGATATACAAGCAGCAAGAACCCCTAGTGGATAGCAGTGTGAAGCTGAGAGCGGGAGTGGGGTGTGGATGAGCACAGATTTGCTTCCGAGATGTGGGTTCTGACAGAAAATGGACAAAAGAGCAGGTAGCGAGACGGCGCTGAGCCACAAGAAGGGCCCGGGGGGGGGGGGATGAACAAGTGTTTGCTTTATCCGTGGAGGGATAGGGCGGTACTCCCAAGTGGCATGGCACGTGGCGCTATTATCGCCACCTCGGAGATGACGTGGCATTACTCAATGACGGCCAAGAGGTGGCGAACGCGTTCCCATCATCGTTCCATCCGTTCCGGCTGCGTACAGCTCAGCCACAAACGCCACGTTGGCGGGCGGACGCGGTCACATGTGGTGAAATCACAGCCACCAGTGCCCGCAGGCCAACAAACGCCACAAACATTTCCAGCTCGGAGTCACACAACAAACTCTGGCCCGCCGCTACAAATTCTACTCCAGAAAATTCCATGTGGGTCGCCAGCTTTTATCAGAAATTGCGGGGTTGTTTGATCGGATGAGTTCAAAAAAATTAACAACGTCGGGAAATTCGAACGCGAGCCCACAAAAGAACCAGCAATCGTGATTTAATTGGTGACGAAGGTTTCGCCAGATGCGAGCATCGAAATGTGTAGTAGTTCATGAGTGGCTCCAATACTTCCGGCAACTCAATGTCAAGATTCTGTCTTGGCTCGAGACATCGGATTCTCTGCTGCAATGCAACGTAAGCTGTGCTCTCATCCTCCCCCCACCACGTTCATCCTTCCTTCGTACAAACCTGTGAGTAGCCCCCTTCAGTGTTGCGCGCTTGGTTGTAGTATAAATAGGTCCCAAGCATAACTTCACCGTCTTCTTCTCGTATCTGCTGAACCTCCAAAACCGTGCATAAATCTCTCCTTTCCTTTTTGGAACTGGGCTCTCTCACAACGTAGGATTGCACCCACACTGCAAACTCCTCATCTTGCAACTGGGTTTTTTGTATTTCTGCTTGCTGGTTCCACAAATTGACAGGGGTTGCTGTAGCAACGATTCATGCGGTTTGCGGTCCTGTGTCGGTGGAGAAGCGCCTCTCCCTGCGGAGGAGGATTATCACGAGTTTCATAGAAGATTGGTCCGGGGAGCGGTTCTTTGAGCTGGCGATTAATCGGAGTCACTGAGTTATTGGCTGGCATATCATGTCCTTTTGGGCAGAGCTCGAGAGCAGCTCGGATGATGTAGAGTAGGCATTTGTTTGATTGCCTGGGACTGTGTCAATTTGCACCCTAGCTCATGCCGTTGTTTCCCAGGATTTCAATCGGCATTAGCATTGCGAGGGAGGATCGGTGCACATGCCAGCATTCTCTGTTTAGTCGCCGCGGAGGATTCTAAGCAGTTGTCAGGAATTCAATGGATTTACTAATTAGTAGAACATTCTCGAAGGTGGGGATAAAGGAAGGGATAATACTTGGCTTGTGGTAAGAGACCTGGGGCGCAATAGAGGTGGGTTTGGATGGCTGTGAAGCTTCCTGGGAGTGTCACCGCTCTCTTCCAGTCGTTGAGGTATAGTTCCAATGCAAAGCATCACCAGCAACTGCAGCCTGGATCCACATTTTCTTCACATGGCGCGTGGACTCGTCTCAAGAGAACAGGAGGGCTTTGCTTTCCCGGGAACATTGCGAAAGACCGGCAGGATTTCTTTGGTAGGATTGTAGGGTTAGCAGCACCGTTCACAGTACCGAGGTCTATTGCACTGGACCAAAAATCATTGCAAGTCTCATGTGCATTGTCTTCATTCGAGGTTTGGATTCCCACTCTCATTTTTACTACCGAAGTTAAATGCTTTCATAACCTACAGTGTTTTCATGTCCTTTCAAATTGGAAACAATCTTATGCAATTTCGACGCCTGGCTCTACTAAAACCTAGTTTAGTATATGAGCTTCGTTTCCGTTTATGGATGCAGCCGTTGTAAATTGAAGTATGATTCATGCTTGCATGGCTGACTGACCCTCTGCATTAATCTGTACACCGTTGCTGTCTCATATTTGAAAAGAATTTTCTAGAAGATGTTAAGTAGTGAATGAGCCAATGTTGACCGATTTTTTTGTGGCTTTTGGCTATGCACATATATTTGTGTGCAGCTTGATGATGTGGATTTACGAAGGGAGACAGGTGACGGATGGAGTAGTAGTAGTACTAAGCAATTGCCCAAATCCGTGCATTACAGAACAACATGCAACTTTCAAAAATCCAATGGAACTTCGCTAAGGGTGCCCACCCCCTCCCAGACATTTGCCTCAGCTAGGTATTATCAGCGTAGCTCAATCGAAGATTTTTTTATTTCATCTCAACTTTTTTGTTTTTTAATATTTTATAAGCTGCTTAAATATAACTCCTTGTGCGTGATTCGTCGTTTTGACTGGAGAACATGCCAGAAGCTTTCACCTAAATGTATGTAGATTTGTCTCTGCAATTATCCGGGTCGTGTGAGAGGACTAAATGTGGAGACATGGTATACAAGGAGGAGGTGCTCATGTATGATAATTAGTCCTCCTCTGAGAGTGTACAGAAACATTGAAGTTGTCAAGGAAAGTAGATTCGTTCCTCATTGCGGAAAGAGATCTTTGTGTTCCCGTTTGGAATTGTGCTGTGAAACTGTCTAAAACAGGGTTTAGTGTTTGGGGGGGACTTATTTCTGAAGGGTCTTCAAATGGTGGTGTGTAGGCCTAGAAAACCAGGAGAGCAAGATGAGTCTATATCACGTCAAACACAGCTTCGTTGCATGCCGCAACCCCGTGACACACCTCCCAAAAGAGGTACCTCTTCACAATCACGTTGGGTTACTGGACTGTATTTCGCATTGCTGAAGATACATCACGTGAATTATGATTTAGGAAGTTTCTTTTCGAAGGGAGTAGAGAACCTCTGTGTTTTAACGTTGAATCTAGTGTCTTTTCAAATGATTTTTTCGTAGAGGTATGACTAGAACTCTCTAAGAATGTCTTTGCAAAGCCATTGCAACGTGATATCTGCTGTCTATTGTTTGCTGAGTATGTGTATTCTGAGAAATTGTTTGTTTTGTTTGTCTGTTTTTCTTCCGCGGGTTGCAGATACAGGGATTGCGAGCGAGAAGGAATGGGGAATTAACTTGAACAAAGAGGTTAAGAGTGAGTCTGGGGTCAACGAAGATGGAAGCAGCTGGTATAGTGAAAGTGGCGTGGATTTGGGCGAGAATGGTTACCGGTGTCGCTGGACCGTCATGGGGGGTCGTAGCGCAGATGGCTCCTCAGAGTGGAAGGAAGCTGTGTGTCACTTGATCATTTTACCTAGTATTGTGATGTTGGGATAGTCCATGTTTGTCTTTTATTTTGTCTTTTAGTGTCATTGTTTATTTTATTTTCATGTGCTATTTTTAGTCCGAAAGTGTGTTGCCAGGCAGAAGTGTGTGATATTGGTTATGTTGTCCCCTCACAAACACCACAGCAAAACAAATTTTAAATCAGTTTTATTAAAGAATGACGATTAGAGACTAAATGAAATTTGTTTCTTGACTGTGTACGGTGCAGTGGTGGGAGAAAAGCGATTGGACAGGTTACAAGGAACTCGGTAAAAATGCTTCAAGCGCTTTGATATGATGTGCTTTCTTGAGTCTTCTGCATCGGTCAGTATGTCGGGTTTTATATCTAGTCGCCGTCGTCCACTAATTTTATTTAGTTATCATCACAGGCGTCATTCAGCTGCACAGACTTCTGTGCCTAAATATCATCTTGAATCGTGATAATGTAGTGTAGTGTCAGGATATTTGTGTTTGGGAGCATGTGCGTATAGAGACTGAGGAACAAAAGTGGGGGACCTCTGACAACAGGTGCTGAGAAATCAGGTAAGAACGCTCAAGGAGACACCTGGTGGGAGACTTGGCAAGAGGTGTTAAGGGTCGATGAGTTGAGGTAACTTCCATCCTTCAATGAAGTCATATCTTATCAAGGAGTACATGCATTCATCTTTTTGGAATTCATTTCAACACAGATTGTTTATTTATTTCCCTTCTTTTACCTCGTAATTTACCGGTCCTCTAAATGATTTTTAAAATACTAAACCATAAGTCCATCTGAGTGGCAGCAATCTGGCTAGGATTGAGAAAAGCGCCCAAAAGCAAGCTAAGTCGGGGACTGGTTCGGCTGGTTGGTTTGAGAAGTGGTAGGATTCTGATCTATATATTTTGTTCCAATGTTTCTTTAAAATGCAGTTAACCTCAGATGTTTTTGTTTGTATTCAATTCTTAATTACTATTTTTATTTATTGTTTTTCACAATATTGCTTATCGTTGTTGATAAACAAGTTTTTTTGTTTTGCTTCAGGTGGGAAAAATACAACGCAAAAGGTTGGTCAGAGAAAGGGGCACACAAGTATGGACGATTGAACGACCAAGGATGGTGGGAGAAATGGGAGGAGCAGTATGATGGGCGTGGTGCTGTTTTGAAATGGTGTGTTGACATGCAATTGGAAAGCCCCGTTTATTTCTAAGAGAATAGCTCCTTTTCGAATTGAATCCCTGCTGGATGTTCTTATTGATTGGCCCTTGTAACATAAGATAGAGTCTCAAACTATGCCAGTCCAACTGTCCGACACTGGGTTCACAAGTGTTCATGAGGATTCGGAATGATTTTGATGACTCTTTACGCATCCTGCAGGACGGACAAATGGGCAGAAAGTGACACAGGTACAAAGTGGGGTGATAAATGGGAGGAGAAATTTGACCACGGTGTGGGTACAAGACAAGGAGAGACTTGGCACAATGATGAGAAAGGTACAATACTTCTATTGATCAACGAGAGATAGTTCTCCAGACAGCTGGGCAGTATTCTCTTCGCTATTTGGTTTTTCTGGACTATGCATTCACAGAATTAGGGTGTTGTATCTGTGCTCTCGTTAACCTCAAGCTGGTCAGAGAACAGGAATTCCAATTGTCGTTTCTAACTTAGAAAACCATTTCTTAAGATGAACCGTGTGAATCATGTTACAGCATACTCTGATGTGAAGGTTATCCCATGAATTGCCCAAACTACTTTGCTTTCAGTTGCGACGTATGGTCTTTACCAAATCTATGAACTTCAATTCTTAAGGCGATCGCTCAGGATAAACATGACATTGTGGAAATATCGAGTCAACTGGAACTTCGAAGAGCGTCTTTATGGCTTGTGGAATTTGACCCTGTTGGTTTACACTCAACCAGTTCAAGCTGACTTGGTCTTACTGGATTACAGGTTGGTCGAGAACGTGGGGAGAGGAGCATTTCGGAAACGGGTAACGTCTGGTTCTGAATTTCAATGAATGATGCTAAAACTTACAACTTTCCTTACAGTACTTTGTTAATCTCTATGTAGCTCGTTAGATATACACAAGGGCGGCTCAACTTGCCGTAATCCCAGCCTACAAGCACATTAGTATGTACAACTCTCAGAAAACTCGGGAAACTTCTCTGCAACTCCAGCTAGCCGCTACGTGAAATTTGTATGGTTACACATTGTCTTTTCACCATGCATTAGTTTAGATCACCGTGTTTATCGACTCATGTTGTTGCCTGGTCTTTCAACAGGAAAGTGCATAAATACGGAAGGAGCACCAGTGGCGAGAACTGGGACAACGTTGTTGAAGAGGGCACATACTACCAGTAAGAGCTGCACCCACTGGCCTACTTACCCACCCCAATCTCACTCACTACCTGATCTCCAAACCATGAACTGCAACCCCTCCTGCAGGTTGAGAACGATTCATAAGACGACGGTGTTGCTCTATGTTGTGACTGATCTAAGTGTGTGGTGATGCACCCATGCAGGGCCGAGCCTCACTATGGATGGGCTGACGCAATCGGCAACTCAGTGCAGCTTCTGAGCATACAACCTTTAGAACGACCTCCTGGGACTTTCCCCAACGTTGAACCCGCCCTGAGGGATCAGCAGCAAAAAGCCTTGAAAGAGGAATCTGGCAGCAACATTCAAGATCAACAGTCCAACAGCCCCAAGCTACGCACAGATAAGGATCAGCCCAACCAGGAATGAATGCTTGATCACTCCGACCATTGCCTGTTTTTGTACTTGATATCGGATTGACGGAGAGACAGAGGCAGAGGTTGTGATCAGGATTTGAAGTAGGCAACTGATTTTTGCACATCATCCGGACTGGTTTCTGTTCCGAGGTTTGTATTTGTAAAGGAATCATCGTGTTGCATTCTGGCATTTGCACATCCTGCTCTCGTTGAATGATGACTAAATAAAACAGCTCACTGTTGAATAATCTATAAGCACTACGTATACTCCTATAGGTCTGTTGCATATCATCTATAGTAAATAGATGCATTGATTTTTATTGAAATTGAATGTGGAGTCGGTTTGCGAAACTTTTGGAATTCATGGCAATAATGATGCTCATTTCTCAATTCCATGGTGTGAATCTCAGAAAAACAAAGTATTCACATTGAAAGTGTAATTTTTTTTTAAATAATAAGAACAGTAATAATATTCTTTCATCGTTTACGTTCTGTTGTAAATAATGAACCGGAAGGTTGTTGGTGATAATATGGATCTGGTTTCGTATTGTGACTTTGAACATCACTGAATGTGGCAAAATAAAACAAGACATGTGCTTCACCTCTTCTTCTATTTCATTTGTTTTACTTAACAATCATGTTCAAACATAATATGTGCTTAAAATGTTAATCAAGTGTTCTATAGAACATGCTTATATCTATATATAGACATGCTTATATGTAAATCTCTATCATTGAATACTTACAAAGTCTTAACTCCATAACTTGTATACTATGTATGTACCAATTTTTAAGTGACTTTTCAGAATTATGTGCATCATCAATTGATTGAAATACTAGCAATTATAGAAATTAAAACCTTTTAAACTAGATGTTGTAAAATAAAATATATTAAAATATATTGTCTTCTGCTTGTGAAACGTTACTTTGCACTGCTACAAAGATTATTGTAGACAAGATGTCCTGAATGCAAATAAAAAACATTATGCCATCTACTTCGACTGTAATAATAATAAGTGTTATTTTTGTATTGTTGTGGTTACTTTCATGAAGTTATACATAGCTTTCAATACAACTTGGTCTTCTTTTAGTAGAAGAAGTTTGTTTTACGAAGAGCTTGTAATTATTTGTAATGATATATGTAATTATAGCTTAATAAGAAAAATTGGCATACACCCAAGGTCCTTTAGTTACCAAATAGTAATTATAAAATACATTAAATAATTTCTTTTTAATGTTTGAATATAGTGAAGTAATTAGATGTTTGGTTTTAATTGTGATGAGTTGGTCTTCTAAACTTATTATAGCTTTAGTAAATTAATCTTTTTTAAATTTATTTAGATATAACATGGTCATTTTTTGCATCTCAATATGTATGTAGGAGCATATCAAGTTGGATAATTTTCTTGTGCATGATTGATCTTTATTATTTGTCTTATTATATTATAAAAAATATATTTAATATTTCATATGATTAAATATCTTGAAAGTCAAGACAAATCTAATCTACATGCTAAACCTATTTCAATAGTATATATAATGTTCCAAATAAAATTGAATCATTTTTAGAACTTATGCAACGTTGTTAAAAAAAAAAAAAAAAAAAAAAAATTAGAATAATAGCTATTATTATTATAGATATAAGATGCACCTGTTTTATTTTTTATATTATTATTATAATATAAATCTGAATTTCTATAGCAAATGAGTCAAATATGTTTGTATTGATTGCTAATTAACATAAATTGCCACTAGGCTTATATTTATAAGGTAAGTATTTGTCAAGGACAAAGACTCGATGAGGGAAAATATACACAAAAAGGCTATCTCGATATAATAAGTCAAAATATAAACAAGTATGTATATTAAAAGGAAACTGGAATGGCTGTTGCCACAAGACAAGAAACTAAAGACTCTTGAACCTAGACTAAAAGCAAGAAAGGAGTTGACAAGAGTGAAGAAGCCTTCACTCTTGTCTCTATATATACTATCTAACTAGGGGCTACGTGGCGACGTTCTATAGGACCTCCAATATGTGTTGACTTTGTAGGACACATGCCTTGACTTACAAGGCAAGTTTTTCTATGTGTGGGCCACATAGTTAGCTTGATCTTCAAGCTAACAACATGTGTGGCACATGGCCAACTTGTTGACAACGTTTCTAATCTAAAAAGTCAATTAAAGACACCTATGAAGTCAAAGCAGCGTCTAGGAAGTTTCTAGGAAGCTTTTATATTAAATATTATAGAATTAACTTACTTTTATCTACTTTTATTTACTTCTACCTATTTCTATATGTAATTATTAGCTTACATGAATATGGCCATGACATTACCCCCCCTTCTAGAGACGAGTTCCACGACGAGCGGTCATCATATGTTGAGAAAATCTATGATGTGACGAATTGTATTCGCCACATACTCTGATCTCTGTTCTCTTCGAAGATGATTGATAGGGCCTCTCAACTATCGGTAGTGTCCCATACCAGGGCGGGAAGACCACCCAGTTATTTGATCATTGTTGAGGCCTTCGTAACTTCCTTCGAATAGAATATTTGGAACACCATCAGAAGTTGTTCCTACCTCTAGCAAAATCACCAAACATCAGGAGTCCCTTCCCAAATCGTGATACCAAACGCGTTGTATCTCACCATCTATTCGAGGAAGAACATGTCGTTCTTGAAGATCTTCATCTCGATTGCGTCGTCTTGAAGGTTGTGACAATCGTAATATCTCATTCGACAGGTCAGCAAACGAAGGTTCTTGAGTTGAATCCGCTGGTTGTTGGCTCTCCATCTAATTAGCGTCACAAATGCAAAGAAGTTACAAACAAGGATAGGAAATTGAATGTTATCTTGCCTCAATCTTGTCTCTTTTATAAGAGAGATTTTCATCTTGGTTTTGATGGATGCCGTTGATAAAAAACTTTGACTTTAGTTGATGCATTTGCTAGATTCCTGGATGGCTCCCATGTGCGTTCACTAATATCATATCTGCGCCAATGAACAAGATATTCCAGCTTATTTCGGCGTCGCCTTGAGTCTAATATCTCTTCCACCTCAAATTCTTCATTATTATCTACTTCTATAGGAGGCGGTGGCATTTGTCTTCTTCCTTGTATATCCATTATCTTATATGGTTCAAGAAGAGACACGTGGAATACAGGATGGATCTTCATTGACTCCGGTAGATGTAACCGATATGCAACTGGGTTGATCTGTTCAGAAACAGAAAAGGGGCCAAGCCTACGATAGTCCAACTTGTCACAAGGTCGAGTAGTCTTGATATTGCGACGAAGTAGCCATACCTTATTACCCACATTGAGTTGCGGTTGCTCCTTACGATATAGATCTGCATTTATCTTTTGTCATTCTTGAGCTTCCTTCAATTGCGACTTCATTATTGCATGTAACTCTGACAATCGATTTGCCATATCTTCTGCTGTAGGATTCTCAACTCTTGAAAAATCAAAAGTATCAAGTCGTGGATGATAGCCATAATTGGCAAAGAAAGGTGTTTATTGCGTGGAAGAATGTACCGTATTATTATAAGCAAACTCTGCCAATGGCAGAAGGGTTGTCCAATCATCTTGTTAGTAGTTGATAGTACACCTTAAATATTGCTCCAAGACTTGGTTTACGCGCTTTGTTTGTCCATCAGTTTGAGGATAGAAAGCCGAAGATAGCTTTATGTCCACTTTTAAAATCTTAAAAAGGGTCCTCCAAAATCTTGACACAAATTGAGTTCCCCTATTCGATATGATATCTTTAGGTAATCCATGATAGCGATAGATATTATCAATGAAAAGCTTAGCTGTTTCTTCACCTGTGATAGATTTTGTACATGGCACAAAATGTGCCATCTTGGTGAAACGATCTACTATCATAAATATAGAATCATAAGATCTTGAGCTTGGAAGATCTGTGATGAAATCCATAGAAACAGAAGACCATGGTTGTTCTGATATAGGTAATGGCTGAAGAAGTCCGTAAGGTCGATGATGAGGAATTTTTGATCTTGAACAAATATCACATGATTGTATAAAGTCTTTGACTGACTTCCACATTTGTGGCCACCAAAAATCTCTTGATATGAGTTCCAAAGTCTTATTATATCCAAAGTGCCCTGCTGCTGAAAAGTCATGACGTGCTTGAAGAACACGTAAACGTGCTTCTCCTTCTAGAACATATAAGTGTCCTTCAAAATATAATAGATTATTCTCGAACTCGAACTTAGAAGGATCATGAGACTTGGAAGAATTATTCTCGATATCATGAACAAGAGGGTCTGAGGACATACTGGACTGGATTTGCTTGAAAAAAGTTGAATCAACAGTCAATGTTGATTTCATTGCTCGGAGATGAAATTGCTCCGATTTCAAGAGGACCGTTCTTTGTTGCTCAAAAGCTGCATCTCCTTCTTTTGGTGCAAAATAAGAACGTCTAGATAGGGCATCAGACAAACCTTGTTGTTTTCCTAGCCGATAAGTGATAATGAACTCGAATCTTAACAAAGACATACTCCAACGAGCTTGACGATGATTCAATACGCATGCTGACATGAAATACTCAAGGTTCTTGTGATCTGTATACACAGTGACTGGACTAGAAGCGCCTTCTAGATAATGACGCCATTCTTGAAAGGAATCCATGATCGCAAGAAGTTCTTTATCGTGGATCTCATAATTGATCTTGGCTGCTGAGAATTTTCTTGAATAAAAAGCTATCGGATGAAGTTTGTCATCTGATCCCATTTGTAATAAAACTCCACTCAAGGCAAAATCTGATGCATCTATTTCCATAAAAAATGCCTTGGAAAAGTCAACACGATATAAGACTGGTGTAGAGACGAACGATGTCTTTAAGGCTTCAAATGCTGCTTCCGCTTCTTGATTCCATTGGAATTTATTTTTACTAGTCAAGCGTGTAAGTAGAGCTACAGTTCGTGAGAAATCTTTGATGAAGATCCGATAGTAATTGACAAATCCCAAGAAACATTGGACATCTCTTACTGTCCTTGGAATCTTCCAATCCATGATTGTTTGGACTTTCTTAGAATCCACCATGAGACCATCATTTGAAATGATGTATCCTAAAAAGTCAACTTGAGTAGTGTGGAATATACACTTTTCCATCTTGGCGTACAATCTTGCATCTCTAAGTTTTTGTAATACTTGACGAACATGTATTTCATGTTCTTCGATGTTCTTAGAATAGATCAGGATATCGTCTAGATAGCAGACGATAAAATT